TGATGCCATATGTAATGGGTCAGATTTGGAGATGGACTGTAGTTACAACATTGTGGCTACATGTATGATGCAAGATTGTGGCCATAAAGTGAGGAAGATATGCACTCATATATACACATATACTTACTTTTCAAGACAGCACTCTTGTCCTGAGATTCTTCTCCTTTGTCCTAAAGCTCAGATAAGCCCCAAGCTCTGGCAATACTAAATGCAATATTTTGGAAACCATTGGGCCCGTGGTAAGAAGAGTCACCACAGTCCTTTAATTCTTCCTACAAGATTCAGCAACAGGATTTACAGCCACGCTCTGATCTGCTGAGATGACAACATTTATTTGTTGGTTATTTTTTTTATCGTCAATATCCAAGAGGTTTGGACTGTAGGAATTTTTCTCTCCTACCCTTCCCTCTCTTTTGCCTCGAGGGCAAGAATACATCAAAGAAGAGACAGGTATATATCTCATAAATTGATGGGATTTCGTAGCTGAGCATACATTAGAGATCCATTCTCTTTATTGGACCATAGTCTTATCATCCCCAGGACTTGAGGCTGCTATACAATCAATAAAAAGGGAAATGAAACAATCCGGGCCAGCCTAACATCTCCCAACAAAGGATTCCCCCAGACAGGAAGCAGCCAGGTGTTGTAGCTGCAAGGACATCCAATGCTAATCAAGGTGGCCAATTGCAACATTCACACTTGCCTCAAGCAGCCAAGTCACTATGGTGCAGTAGTTTGAACACTGGACTGAGACACTGGGAGATTGGAATGGAAACTCCCTGGACAGCCTTGGGCAGTTCTCCGCTGGATATTCATGGCACACTGACAGGGGTCTTGCTCAGACTGCTTCTTCCAGAGGTCTACCTTTTAGCTCTATATTCATTTTGAAGAGTGGCAAGCTTCTTTGCAAGGTGCCTGACGTAATCAAGCTAGTATGCCCTGGAGTATGTTTGTGTATATAGCAGCGGGCTCTATTACCTTTCTAGGGAAAAACTTTCCAGAAGTTGTTTGTTACTCTTCAATCATCCCAATATGACTAGCACTGTCCTGATGAATCTGACCTTTTCAGCTGTTTTCAGCTGCACGATTAAGCAAATAAGAATGAAGGATGGGTTCCGTGAAAGTATTGGTTCTAGGAATAATTTTAGAAGCAGAAACGTTACCATGCCTTTGGAGACAATGTATTGCATCTATGTGCACATGTGTTGCTAACACACACACATACGTCTCTTTTTTGATAGTATGTAGAGGGCTATTTTCTATCCCTTTGCATCCTATTCAAAACTCCTTCCTAGAGCTGCCAGATTTGGGAGGGCCCCCAGCTGCTACTGCTTATTGCAACCTGTGGGTCGCAGCCCAGCAGTGGGCAGTGGGAACAAAAATCCGGTTACTTTGAAATATTTAGGACCTTAAACAGGCGTAACATTACACTTAGGGTGCATCCAGACAGCCCCTTTAAAGCAGGAGTTACCACAATAAAAAGGGGGCTATCCAGATGACATCCTGGACAAATCTGAATCAATTCACCACAAACCAGGAAAACCCTGGTTTGTGGGGAAATCATTTGTTAGTGAGTTTATTCCATGCCTTCTTAGCCCATGCTTCTGGGATGTGTGTGAAACGGTCCCCAGGAACATTCGCATTTTTTAATTGCGAATATTCCCGGGATAAATGCCTGTCTGGAAGCACCCTCAGGGAAAAGGTATGGCTTCCTTTCCTTTCTATTGGATTCCTTTTCAAATCTGTTTTTAATTTGTTTGTTTTTTTACAAATACTTGGCCTTGTTTTCTGATTTAATTGTACTTTATCGAGTCTTTCTCTGAGCTGCCTTCATTCCATTTTGCTTTGGGAGAAAGATGAGGTATAAAGCCAGCAAAATAAATAAATGAAATCTTAGCGGGTTGTACAGCTCTCTGATGGTGAGCTGCACATCCTGAAGTTTGATATTATCTTGTAAAATTGCACACAAAGACCTCACAAAAATATGGTCATTATGAGAGAATAATATGCTTGATAAAATTGTTCTTTTAAAAGGAGATATTTTGTGTCCTTGAAGTGTGGATTTTCTTGCAAATATTTTACAGATACACATTTAAACACAGTGGCTTTTTTCCTTCCTCTGAAATACCAAATCACCAGTATTAAAACAAATTGCTAGTATCAAATCTTTAAATCTTCAGAAATTACATGCTTCTTTCCTTAAAGACGCTTAAAAACCTTTACACATTATTAGTTCATCCTTCCTGAGTTTCTTATTCACACGAAAATATATATAACCTTTGTCAAAAATGAGTAAAATAGCATTTCCCACTTCAACGTATCAGAAATAATTTTCTCTTTCATTTACAATTTCTATAAAATGAAAGGTCAAGGCTGTTTGAGGATAGGAATCCTTGAAGAATTAGACCTTTGTAATGTGAATCCATATGATCTGCATTTTCTGGATGAATGTGCAAATCAGAAAATAGTTGGACTTCCCAAACTTTGCAGTGCCATTTTTGGCTGCAAAGAATGCCAAAAACATTTAATGGTGCATATTGAATAAAATAGGCAAATTTCTATTATGCATTCTTTGAGGAAAATATGCTCAAACGTATTTAAATGTATGGATCTTCATGTGGGTTTGAAAACCCACAGATTAATGAAACAATAGACATTTCATAATGAGTGCATGAGAAGTCAAGATAGGGTAGTGGTTTGAACATTGCCCCCCCCCTCCACAAAGCTGAATAAAATCCCACATGTTCTGCTTTGAACTGGGAGCACTTCCACACAGCCCTATATCCCAGAATATCAAGGCTGAAAATCCCATATTATCAGGTTTGAACTGGGCTATCTGAGTCCACACTCAGATAATGTGGAATTTGCTGCCTTGATATTCTGGGATATAGGACTGTGTGGAAGGGCCCTGGAATATATGGCAGTGTGGACTCAGATAACACACTTCAAAGCAGTTATTGTGGGATTTTCTACCTTGAAATTCTGGGTTATAGAGCGGTGTGGAAGGGCCCTTGGATTGCAACCTTAAGAACAGAGTTTGAATCTCTGCTCATCCATGGAAACCTTGGGCAATTCAGACAAACTCAGTCCCCTTCTACACTGCCAGATAATCCAAGTTATCAAAGCAGAAAATCCATATTATCTGATTTGAACTGGATTATCTTTGTCTACACTGCCATATAAACCAGTTCGAAGCAGATAATCTGGATTTTATATGACAGTGTAGAAGGGGCCTCAGTTTCAGAGGAGTCAATCTTCTTCTGAACAAATCTTGCCAAGAAAACCTCTTGATAGGTGCTCCTCAAGGTTGATAGGTGCTCCTCAAGGTTGCCATATGTTAGAAACTACTTGAATGCACACAGCAACAACAGTGAGCACACCTGAAATGGACATCAGATGGGAAAAGTGTGATCTGCCCATTTTAATTAGAGAACAAGGTCATGAAAAGATAAAGAAACAGAGATCCTACAAGGATGATGGCATATTCACTCTGCCTTCCATCTTCTACCTCCTCTCCTTCAGGAGTCACCTTACTCCTTCCCACCAATAGAGAGCAGAAGCAGCTGAGAAGGATTTGGCTAATCTCATATAGTCAGATGCACAATTACACTGTCATCCACTGGGACATCCACGTACTTCCCAGGGAGGTCGGATGAGCCCAAAAGTATCCAGCTGTGTACTTAAAACTATTTGAAATCCAAAGCACTGCAATGAAAAGGAGCATTATTCAGCTCAAAAAGAATGATAGTAAAAAAAAAAACAGCCCCACTCAATTAGACATTTGGAAGGCTGTTCGACGGACAAGCCCAAACAATTTTTTTAGTGTTGATGCTCATCAGAATGAAATCCCTCACATGCTCACATATGCTTCATATTTGGCCATTGAATCCATGGGATATAAAGAATATTTGTACCCTTGAGACATTGCAAAGAGCGGTTTTGTCTCAAGAGTAATCAGGTCTGTGAGGGCATTCTGTGGTTTCATTATAGATTAAATTGGGAGGAGTCTTTTTTTTGTTTGCAAGAAGTCCCCATGAATAAAAAAACCCCACCAAAATGTGCAGGTACTCTCATATTATCATCTATGGGAAGGAGGAGAAATTTGTACATCTCATATATGAGAATAAAATAAGCCAATATTCACATCCTTGCTAAGAAACTCTAGATCATGAGCAGAATTAGAACATCCCATTTGACAAAGAATTGGAGAACATCTAATTTTGTATTTTTAGTAAACATAGTAAACTATGTTCCCCAGATGACATGCCAGTATTTAACTAAGGGCCAATGGAAAATTTGAAAGCTTCCACAGAATTTTGTTATTACTTTTAGATTTAAGGGCTCAGGGAAGGAAGCTGTAATCACAAAAACGGGTTATGGTTCAAAGAATGCATACAATGGCAGGGGCAAGTTTTGTGTAGTGTCAAATTTTGGATTATAGATTCTGGCACCATGATAACACCCATAGAAACACCTCGAGAAGAATTCAAAAATGCTGTACTGATCAATTTCTCCATTTCTCTGTCTCTGCGTGTGTGTGGACACACACACTCACATACATAAACATACAGCTCTTAACAACACATTATTCTGGGAAAATCCTTTCTGCTCCTCCTACCATGAGTATCGTAGCTAAATTCAAGAGGTTTAGGGAATGACAGATGATGTCACTCATCCTGTCAATCAAAAGGACTTGGAGTTTAGATCCTGAGAGCCCTGAGTCCACTACATCACTGCTTAGGAGAGAATATATTTTCTCTGTCATCCTATTCCTTTAGCATTCCATCATGTGTGCAAGATACCATCAGCATTTAGCTAAAACAGTTTTCATTGACCTTTGCAGCAAAATCAAACATATGTATTTTTGGTCAGCCATCACCTATCCCAGTTCTTCAAAAACAGTGGAAAATTTCCACTTCCTGAGAGCCATAGTTTGTGCAAATACGACAACATACTGATAGGTCCTGTGTGTATATCCAGGTCCAATGACAGGATTTCAATTTTGTTTAAAGAAACACATTAGATTTATTTCCTTCCTCCTCAGTTCTGCATTCTTCACATTGGTACCCCTTTATTAAATTATAAACATGTAAACAAATGCACTTTGCTGAAAAGACTGGATTCCAGTTGTTATGGGATGTCATTCAAATGGAACGCACAAATCAGGGAAAGCAGCAACGAAGTGTACAACCTTAAAACCTACATGATACCAGTTCAGAGAGGCACCTGTTTGCATGTAACCTCCCTCTATTTCAGGGTATCGGTTTTCATTTGGTCATTGTTATTTAAAGCAGGGGAGGGTTTACTTTTCTGAGCTTCAGTCCCTCCTTTGGATGTGTCCTGAAAGAACAGCCGCGGCATCCACAGTGACAGCAGAATCCGTTTATATTCCTTCCGAAAGTTTTGGTTGAGAAGTCCATATATTATTGCGTTAAGGCAACTGTTGAAGTAGGCCATGAAGTAGCTCACGACAAACAACCATTCGGGAACTTTGGGTGCTATTTCCGTTGGATTAATGGCTACCGCCAGTCCAATGAAGTTCAGGGGTGCCCAGCAAAAGGCAAAGATCACAAAGACGACAAACATGGTCAGAAAGTTTCGGAAGTCGCTCGGCTTCAGCCTCGGCTTGATTTCCGATTTGACTCGCCTCCTCACTTGGATCACCAGGATCCAGATCCGCAGGTAGCAGAAGCTCACGATGGTGATGGGGAGGATGAAATGGATGACGACGACCGCAATGGTGTAATAGGGACTAGCCGTCTGGGTGAATGTGCATGAGTAGATGCGTTGGTCGTACTTGAGAGAGCCAACGAAAAAATTTGGCACCGTTGCAATGACTGTCAGCACCCAGACCAGGCAGACGAAAAGCATGGTGTTCCACCAGCTGTACACTTTGTCGTAAGCAAAACTGTGGCATATGTAGAAGTATCTGTTTATTGCAATGGCGGTGATGTTGAAGATGGAACCAATGACGCTCAGCCCCATGACAAATCCACTTACTTTGCAGTGCGTATCCCCCATGGTCCAGCCATTGTGGAAAATGGCTGTGAGCACTAAGGGGTATGGGTACAAGGCCACCACTAAGTCGGCCAAGGCAAGGCTGACCACAAATGCATTACCTGGAGAGCAAAGACAAGAGAAAAAGAGAGAATGAGACCATGATTGAACATCCACAAGTCATTAGGATAACAGGAAAGAAATAATTTCAATTTTCCACTTGATAATATCATAGGATGCCAGGGCTTGAATTCTATCATTGTTAACCAATTGAATCAGTGGTACTTACTTACATGTTGACATAACATTTGGTGCATGTACTAAATTTGGGGCTAACCAAGAGAATTCAGGCTAAGGGTACATGGTGTATGTGAGAACCAAAGTCAAAATGATATATCCAAAAATTCTTTTCATTAAGCATTTGGTCATATAAGTCCTATAACTCAGAATATTAAGGCAGAAAATTCCACAATATCTGCTTTGAACTGTTATCTGAGTCCACACTGCCACATATTCCAGTTCAGAAAATGTGGGATTTTATTCAGTTGTGTGGAAGGGGTCTTAGCCAGAGCTTGGGGGGGAGATTTTTTTGAATTACAACTCTCCAAATACTCCAAAAGGCCGTGGCCATGCTAAGTGGAAAATTATGGGATTTAGCACCCAAATCAATGACTTAGAGTGCATCTACATTGAAGAATGAAGTTTCACACCATCTTAACTCCCTTGGTCTTATGCTACAAAATGATGGGAAATTTTACAAGGATTTAGTCTTCTCTGTTCATGTATCACAACCTGATGATTCCACTGTATTGATCAATGGCAGTGAAAGTGGTATCAAAGTAGCATTAATACTACAGTATAGATCATAGAATGATAGAATCATAGAGTTGGAAGAGACCTCGTTGACCATCCAGTCCACCCCCTTGCCAAAAAGCAGAATAATTGCATTCAAAGCTCCCCCGACAGATGGCCATCCAGCCTCTGTTTAAAAGCTTCCAAAGAAGGAGCCTCCACCATGCTCCGGGGCAGAGAGTTCCACTGCTGAACGGCTCTCAGAGTCAGGAAGTTCTTGCTAATGTTCAGATGGAATCTCCTTCTGATGCCCCATTACATTCCCCATTCTAAAACACTGATCATAAGGATGAAACCTAAGTTACTTATGGAGATTTTCAATCAAGATATATGGAGGAGGAGTGTAAACCAAAACACATATACTTCTTTTGCGGGGATATTGATGGGAATGTCTTCCAAAAACCACCATGTCTTTTTGTGTGTGTGTCAGGAATGACCTGAGAAACTGCAAGTTGCTTCTGGTGTGAGATAAATGGCTGTCTGCAAGGGCATTGCCCAGGAGACGCCCAGATGGTTTTGATGTTTTGCCATCCTTGTGGGAGGCTTCTCTCATGTCCCCATATGGGGAGCTGGAGCTGACAGAGGGAGCTCAACCCGCTCTCCCTAAATTCAAACTGCTGACTTGTCGGTCAGCAGTCCTGCCAACACAATTACACTACCATGGCTAAGAATGTGTGATGCTCCAAAGAGATATTCAAAACAAAATAGTGGCCATCACTAAGTTCTCTCTCCACCTTCCCCAAATAAATTCCTATAAATGTATAGTATAGACTCACTTGTTGCCACACCTCACACTGAACAGGGATGATGAAATGACATAGGGGTGGAAGAAGGTGAGGGATGATAAAAAGACAAATGCATTGACAGAAGGTGGGGCCAGCTTATAAAGTTCACTTAGCCTTGCCTCTGACACTGATGTGATGACACACATCAATCCATGTGAAAGATAAAATAACACCACCACCACCATCATCATTGGTATACATTCTGCTTGGGACTCACATCTTCATAAATGGCCTTAGGCAGCTTCACAACTTCCATATTTACTGGTGTGGCATCACAACATAGGTTTACATTGATAGCCAATGGAGTGACTGGTGCACTATGGCCTCATATGGAATGGGTACCAATGCACATAGGGTTTTCACCAAAGAACATGGAAAGAAAGCTCCTCCACTATCTCCTTTGTACATCCCACCAATAATGCAGCAAAATCTAAATCTAGGGAAAGTGAGTGAAAGGAAACAAAGGCTTTCAAAAGGCTTACTCTTTGATTTCCTTGAGATGCTTCGACCTCATCACTCTTTGTTTTCTTGGCAAAACAACTGAAACTCTTCAAATTATGTTCCTTCCAGCATTTGGCCTGATGTGCATGAAGTCATTTGTTTCAAAACAGCAGGATATGAATATTGGTATATCAAAGAAGGAGAGGATTTCACGAAGCAATGTCTTTTGTCTTGGCTCTTTACGTGATGAATATTAAATAAAGCTGTTAGCAATTTTCCAAAATGGATAGGAACAAACTTCTATTATCCTCCTCCACTGATATGGGCTTAATGGAATTAGAAGACAAAAGACATCTGGAGGGCCACATTTTCTTATTCCTTTCAAAGGTTGTGTCCACACTGCAGAATCAATACATTAACAACCATGGCTCAATACTGTGAAATTCTAGGATCTGCAGTATTGTGAGATATGTACTCTTCTGCTCCCACAGCAAACTACAAATCCCAGGATTCCATGGGATGGAGCTATGGCACTTTAGTGGTATCAAATTGTTCTACCTCTGCAGTGTAGATCATCTGGATGTAATGAAAGATATTTATTTTATATCCTTTTGAGGAAAAAAAAATGGAAAATAAATGTGTTACATTCCTCCTAGTTAGGCAATTTTACGGTTTGTAACTTTATAGTGTGGACTTTCTTGTTTTGCTACTTGATCTATTTGAAACTATAAACGCAACTCACTCCTTTTTGCTTGGTAGCAGAAAGGTCATTACAGCTACCTTATTTTTTAATGTAACTTCCCAAGCTTTGACATGAACTGTATATCAGCCTGGCTGAACTAAAATCAGTAGCTTTTGTTTTACCGAATTTGTGTGATTCTTTTTCCTGAAAATATTCATCATTAAATGTGTTCTTGGTCTCTCTAGAGCTTTTCACTATTTCTATTTATCTATATCTATCGCTCTCCAATTTATCCTATATCCCAGGGGTTTTCAAACTTTTTCAGCTGCAGAGCCCTTTTTGAAGTAAAAGTTTTTCATGGAGCCCCAAGAAACTTTTATTATATTATATTATATTAGCTGTCCCCTGCCATGCTTTGCTGTGGCTCAGTCTGTGTGTATGTCTTTTGTGTGTGTGTGTATCTGTATATGTATACATATGTGGTTTTGCGCATGCATTGTAATGCATTTTTACAAAAACAAAAATGGCTTTTAAAGTCTTTTCCACTGTGTTTTTCAGGGTTTTTCTGAGTGATGACCACTCATTGGCCTGATAGGTGTATTGTGTCCAAATTTGGTGTCAGTTCATCCAGTGGTGTTTGAGTTATGTTAATCCCACAAACAAACAAACATTACATTTTTATTTATATAGATATATTATATTATATTATATTACATTACATTACATTACATTACATTACATTACATTACATTACATTACATTACATTACATTACATTATATTATATTATATTGTAGGAACTGCAGTCTACTCGAGGACCTCATGATTCCCACCTATGATGAGTTTCTGCCCTCAGGTAAATGGGGTTTAGATTGGGTTGTTGTGAGTTTTCCAGGCTGTATGGCCATGTTCCAGAAGCATTCTCTCCTGACGTCAGGGGCGGCTCAACCCATTATGCAAAGTAAGCATTTGCGGTATAGTTGGTTTTGCCCAGGGGCGCTCTTGGGGGAAAATAGACCTTGACATATGTGAGTTGTAGTTACTGGAATGTATAGTTCACCTACAATCAAAAAGCATTCTGAACTCCACCAATGATGGAATTGAACCAAATATGGCACACAGAACTCCCACGACAAACAGAAAATATATATCAGTGATTGGTTTGGGGGGGCGGGGGGCGCCAAAATACTGTTTGCTTACCGTTGAAAATTACCTAGGGCTGCCTCTGCCTGACGTTTTGCCAACATCTATGGCAGGCATCCTCAGAGGTGGTGAGGTTTGTTGGAAACGAAGCAAGTGAGGTTTATATATCTGTGGAATGTTCAGGGTGGGTTTAGTTTCCTTGATAGCATCATGTCCAAATGCTGACAGTTGTCTCATGGTATGAGCAAGTTAACTTGTAGTAATGACCTTGTATACTTTTTGCATTTGGCGGTGGAGCAGGGAAAAGATATGGAGGCTCATAATCAACAGACTGAGGGGGTGAATTTTTCTTTGTTGCTGACTTGCTTGTATGGTCACATGCTTTGGTTTTCTTTGTCTGCTTCTTCATTATTACACCTTTGGGAATTGCCTTGAGGAGGAAAATCCCAGCTCAAGAGCTCCTCATATGTCCAGTTATAGGAAAGTTGTTTCCCAGCCAAATGATAGTCAAGGTAGACTTTGTTTAAGGGGCCAATTTTGCCATTTGGTGATGAGGGAACACAAAGCCCACCATAAGCAAAAGGGCAGGAATGTTTATCTGCGATGTGCCATCTGTTACCTCATTTACCACCAGGAAACCTTATGCTCTAGCAGTAACATGTGTCACTGTCTGGCACCAAAAAAAACCCATGGGGAAGCCCGAAACTGAACCCAGTGTTGGAACAACAAACCACTGCTAATTTAAAGTAATAATATCAACTAAAAGCCTTCAGCCTAGCACTCTGTTATGTTCCGCATACCTGCTGGAAGGTTAAAACAGTTAGTGCAAGCCTCGGGATACTAGCATCTCTCCGTTTCAGCCTGTTGACAATTATAACTGTGGTTTTCTCATAATGCAAATGTGTGTCATTAATATATTTGGCTGGTTAGGTTTTTGTTGTTGTTCTCTCAAACTCATTTCATCATATATTTTGTTCTGCGCCAGTCGGCAATAAGTCTCCTGCTTTTCCCCACTGGGGCCAGCTTTGCATAATATTGTATTTTAATATTTCAAAATGACAGAATACTGCATATGCACTTACTAAGCGACACAGAAAAGGGAGCTCCATTAATTAAGTTTCCATTTACTTTGGGCATAATCCTGCAAAAGAAAAGGTGCATATGAAGTCATCCTGTCTCCCCATCTACCCATAAGGAGAACCTATAACTACAAGTCTTCA